GGTTTTGAAGAGGCCAAAGAAAGTGACTGGTTGCCGGGTTTCAGTTAGCGACTAAAAGGCTCAGGGGTCACTCCAGTTGAACTGGGCTAACTGGGCTGCGAAAAATAACCACACAAGAGACACAAATACTTTTTTCTTTGGGGTCGCTGTGACGGCTCCTCTGACCTTAAGGGTCCGCAGGAAGAGAGAGAGAGAGAGAGCACGCGCTGACCCCTTTATTGAGGAGAAGCTATTCAAATGAGGCAAGGGGTCAGGTTTCAGGGGACTGAGTCTGTCTTCATGATGTCCACTGTYAGCAGGTTGACTGACACCCGGGTAGGCCACACCCAAGGGCACAGTAAGAGAAGGGGACACACACAAGGCACTTCCATGGAAGATTCTATCCTAAACAGGGCAAGGGGTTATATTACAAAGGAACAGGTGAGCATAGCTTCACCCATGGGGCTGTAGCAAGACACACCCATGCACGAGACACCCAAGAAGGGTGGGGAGGGCTCTGCCACATTTCTGTGACTGAGCGCCTCAGCACCCAGCTGGAGAGTGTGACTCAGTCACGTGTAAGGTTGGTCTCCCACAACTGGTGACAACATGGGAGACGTAGGATTAATTGGGGAAAGCTTACCAGAGATCGGTGGCTGTTCCAAGAATAGTTCAGTGGTGATATGCTGATAGCACCTCTGTCCCTCATGTGCTATGACAAACAGCGCCTCCTTTCCCCTCACAGCATTTTCTCCAGTGGTGACTGGCTAGATGAATGACTCATATCCTTCCCGCAGTGCCCTCAGTTCCTCGCAAGTCCCCACTCAGGGATGAATTTTACATTTGGTAGGTTGCAAAAGCATCATTAGCTTGCTTASTTTACTAGTAGGACCAGCCTACCCGGGAGCAACTGTCGCAATGTACTTGTGAGAAAGTAGCTTACTGCTGATAGCACTGGTCTGCCCTAATTCTCAGTGTGCATAAGAGAGAGTCAGTGTCCTTCAAGATAATATGTGCCTGGACTTTCCAGTTTAGGCTTGCTCTCCTTGTTCCTTTAACTTGGTGAGGCTTCTTGGAACAGAAAGAAGGTATTCAGTGACTTAGTTTTTTTTCCTACCACCCCACTTTCCTTTAGGAATGGTTCACAATTTTACACCAAGTTCAAGTGTATAGTTTGGTGGTTTCAGTATATTCACACCATTATGTAGCCATCCATCACCATCCATCTCCAGAACTTTTTCATTTGCAAAACTGAAAGTCTCTACCCATTTGTGTTAGTCAGCTTTTTATCCCTGTGTCAAAAACACCTGATGATAACAACTTAAAGGAATAAGTTTATTTGGTTTTCAGAGGTTCAGTCCATGGTCAACCAACTCCCTTGCTCTGGGTCTGAGATAAGGCAGAACATCACGGCAGAAGGGCAGGGCTGAGGAAAGCTGCTCAGCTCCTGGGAGTGTGGACAAGATACATAATCCCCAAGAGCACACCCCCAGTGACCTACTTCCTACAGTCATGCCCTACCTGCTCTCAGTTACCATCCAGGAATCCATTCAAATCATTAATCCATCAAATAGATGGATCCACTGATTAGGTTATATCTCTTATAATCTGATCATTTCACCTCTGATTATTCCTTCATTGTCTCACACATGAGTTTCTGGGGGACACCTCATATCCAAACCATAACACCATTCAACAACAACTCCATTCTTCCCTCTGTCTTGCCCCTGGCAACTACCATCCTTTCTGTCTCTGTGAATTTGACTATTCCAAGTGTCCCCATGTAAGTGGAATTGTACAGGGTTTGTCTTTCTGTGACTGGCTTGTTTTACTCAGCATAATGTTTCCATGGTTCATTCATGTAGCAGCATGTTATTTCTTTTTATGGTTAAATAATATATCATTGTATGGCTAATATCATATTGCTTATCCATTTACCAGTGGTTGGATACATATGTTGCTTCCATCTTTTGACTATTGTGAAGAGAGCTGCTCTGAACTTAAGTATATAAATCTCTCTCTCTTTTTTTTTTAGCTGAGTTCTGGAAAAATTTATCATTTTTGTCCTGTAAGTAAGTCAAAGATGCAATTTCCTGTTATTACCAACTGGCTCTTCACATCTCCATTGTGTTTCAAAATTGTCCTTCACTAGCTGGACATGGCAGTGCATGCCTATAATCCCAGCTCTTTGGGATGTTGAGGCAGGAAGTTTGCAAGACCAAGGCCAGCCTTAGCAACTCAACAAGACCCTGTCTCACGATAAAAATAAATAAATAAATAAATAAATAAATAAATAAATAAATAAATAGGGCTAGGGATGTAGCTTAGTGGTAAAGCATCCCTGGGTTCAATCCCCAGTGCCCCCTCCCCCCTGCAAATGTCAATCACCTTGCTAGTCCTCTGAACTTCTTTTTCTCTTGTCGATTGTTCTTTTTTTTTTTTTTGAGACTTCCTGCTCTTGTTTTATAGAAGTACGATTAGTTCATTTACCATATAAACTTTAAGTGAATTAATTTAATTTAAAAAACTCTTTCCTGTTAACTACCATTGAGTCTATCTTGTTTTTTTTTTAATTGACACATAGCAATTGCACTTATTTATGGGTACAGTGTGACATCTCAGTACATGTATCCAATGTGTAATGATCAGATTGGGGTAATTAGCATTTCCATTGTTTCAAACATTTATCATTTCTTTGTGTTGGGAAATTCAAAATCCCCTTTTACTACTATTTTGAAATATATGGCAGATTTTTCTACACCTTACAGGGCTGTAGAACAGTAGAATTTATTCTTCCAACCTAACTGTATTTTGGTATCTCTTATCTGTCCCCTCTCTATGCCACCTCCTCCTGTTAGGTCTATGTTAAGGAGATCATTTCTTGCAGGTAAATGGATAGAACTAGAGAATATTATGCTAAGTGAAATAAGCCAATCCCCAAATATCAAAGGCCGAGTGTTTTCTCTGATAAGCGGATGCCTGTCCATAGTGGGATGGGGAGGCAGGGAGTATAGAGAAGGATGAAGGAATTTTGGATTATGTAAAGGGGAGTGATGGAGGGGTGGGGCGTTGGAGATGGGAAGGACGGTAGAATGAGATGGCCCTTATTACCCTATATACATGTATGGTTACAAGACTGCTGTGACTCTGCACCATGTACAGCCAGGGGGAAGGAGACCTTGTGCTCCATTTGTGTACAATGTGTCAAAATATATCCCACCCACATGTATAACTAATTAAAACATATTGAACAAAGTAGGAAGGAGACCAGTAGAATAGAAGAGGAACAGTGGGAAGGAGGAGAGGGAAATGGGAGGAACTGGGGAATGAAATTGATCAATATACTGTTTTATTGTGTGAATGTATGAATTTATTATAACAAATAAAAAAGTCTTGGGGCTGGGGTTGTGGCTCAGTGGTAGAGTGCTCGCCTCACATGTGAGAGACCCTGGGTTTGATCCTCAGCACCACATAAAAATAAATAAACAAAATAAAGATATTGTGTCCATGTATAACTAAAAAAAATTAAAAAAATTTTTTTAAATTCTTTACCTGCCCCCCCCAAGATCATTTCTGCTATTTTCTTTTTTTAACTGATGAATCCTTTCCCCCCTTCTTCCTTCCTCCCTCCCTCCCCCTGCCTCCCCTACTCCCTCCATTCCTTTTTACTTTCCTTCCTTCCTTCCTTCCTTCCTTTTGTACTGGGAAWTGAATCCAGAGTGCTCTACCACTGAGCTGTATCCATTGCCCTTTTTATTTTTTACTGTGAGACCAGGCCTTGCTGAGTTGCTGAGATTGGTCTTCAACTTGTGCTTGTCCTGCCTCAACCTCTCAAATTGCTGGGATTATAGGCCTGGCCATGGTGCCAGGCGTATGTCCACTTGCATTTTTTTGTCCATCATTTAGTCTGTTTGGGCTGCCATAAGAGAACACCACAGACTGGGTGACAAACCAAGAGAAATTTATTTATGTTGACTGTTCTGGAAGTAGATTTCCAAGATCAAGTTGTTGGCAGCTGGCTGTCTGGTGAGGGCTCTCTTCCTGACTTGGAGACAGTCCCCTTCTGTTAGTGTCCTCACATGGCTTTTTTTTCCTCTGTGTTTTTGTGGTGTTTTTTCTTCTTCTTCTAAGGACACCACTTCTATTGGACCAGTGTCCCATCATAATGACCCCATTTAAGCGAAATTATCTCTCCAAAGGCTCCATCTTCCAATATAGTCATTAAGCCTAGCACGTAAGCCTTTGGAAATGTTCCAGATCTAAACTAAAAAACCTCCCACCTGAAGCAAGGCACTTAACCTCCCTGAAGCACCATTAACCTCCCCTGTGAATTGGGAATAATAACAAATATGTCCGTCTCACGGGGGTGTTGTGCAGGGGGAATGAGTTAACACCTATAGATAACTTAGAGCAGTAGTTCTGCTTGGAGACAAATGTTTGTGTTCCAGCTTGATACAGTGCTGGGCCACCAAAGGCACTTACTGAGGTTGAATTCCTCCTGCCCCAAAGAGAGTGCTTTCTGTCATGCTCCTTCCTCTGACCTCTGTGGTTTCCACATCTTTAACTTCACTAATCCTGGAGAGTGAGTGGGTCAGGACAGGGCTAGTGAGCCTGGGGCCTGGGGCTTGAATGCCAGGGTCACTGGCTGGATTGAGCAAGAGCAGGGAAGGGTACTTGACCTGGTCAGGGATATTTGGAGACACCAACAGTTCTGGGAAGTTCAGAAGTAGGAAGTGAAAAGAGGAGGGACAAAGGTGGAACTGCCATTGTGTCCCTGTCTCTACAGGTCTGGTTCCCCCTCCCAAATGGTGCCATGGGTGACTGGAATGTGAAGGTGGGAGGTTGGACCAAGAGACCCTCTTCTCTGGGTAGGAGAACAGAGATGGTTGTGTCCCTCTGCCCCCACCACTCGTTGTCTGAGTTCCAACTGTTTCCTCTTCTATTTACTGTCCAAAGTCCCAGGGGAGGAGATGCCAGGTTAGAATCTTTTGGACACTCACACACACACAGGGCTCAAGGCCCTTATGTGGGCCAGGCCCCTCCTCCCCTTTCATCTAGAACCAGCTTGCTCTAATTCTCCTGGCTTTAACCCCTCTTTTTCCCTGGGGCTTGGGCTGCCTGCAGGAGCCACTTAGTTCTCCATGCTTTAAACAGGTAACCAAGGTGGGGGAGGCAGGTGGGGCTGGGCTTTTGGGGATTAAGGAGACTCTAGTGCAGGAACAGTGGGTGCTGATGAGAAGATGTAGGGTGACTTGGTCCTTGAGAATATGGAGGAAAGGTTCATGGCCAGGTCAAGGGCCAAGCGGTCCCCTGAGAATGGGGACAGGATCCTGCAGTATTTCAAACCTTTGCCCCTGACTCGTCTCTAACCTCTGACCCAACCCAAGCTATCAGCTTGACCTATTCAGGCCCTATTTCAATTACCACCATCAGCCTCTACACAAATTGGTATCTTAGCCCCAGCCTGGCCCCAGCTCTAACCCATAATAGCAACCTCAACTCCAGGTCCAGCTCCAGCACCAGCCCTGGGTACATCATGGAGAAGGAATTTCAAGACATCCAGCAGCTGGACTCTGAAGAAAATGACCATGAGCTCAGTGGCGGTGAGGGGCCAGGCACTCAAGGGCAGAATCCCAGGACAGAAAATCCATTTTGGAAAGGCAAGTGTTCAGTTTCTGGGGTTTCACCTGCATCCCATTTCAGCTGCCAGTTGTTCTCTGTCTCCATGAGGTCTCTGTCTCATTTGCTTCAGGGACTGAGTTAGTCCCTCTAGGTGTGAGCTGATGGTATCTCTGTCTGCAGAAGGCCATAGGCAAGGGTAGGGGCCCAGAGGTATGGGGATCCCTGAAGATGGCTCCCTCCCTCCTCTCTCACCCAAGCAGATGGGTGCTGTGCGCATGCGTGTGTGTGTGTGTGTGTGTGTGTGTGTGTGTACAAGTAATGCAGAGCCTGCCAGAACTGTGGGGGTGGGGATGGGGTGAGTTGGGGTAGATTGAGAAACCAGCATGAAGAGATCCTGGGAGATTCCTGCTACCTGCAGGCCTCCTGCCTGGATCCTCCTCTAGCAAAAAAAACTTTTTTAAAATATATTTTTAGTTGTCCATGGACCTTTATTTTACTTATTTGTATGCAGTGCTTAGAATCGAACCCAGTGCCTCACACATGCTAGGCAAGCGCTCTACTACTGAGCTACAATCCCCATCCTCCTCTAGCAAATTTTGAATACAGACGCCAAGCGATTGAGATGTTTTAAAGCAATAGAGATTTCAGGGGTTCTACGCAAAAAGGCAGGATCCAGGGACAGAGGAAAATGTCCTGTGTGAATGCTGGTGATGAAGCTGGGTTCTGTGGAGACAAGAGGGGTTGGGACTCAAAGCTCAGGGAGAGGATTGGCCAGCCTGGGCTGGGAGGAGACCCTACATTGTTGAAGCTGGGAGGGAAGGACTGGTGCTGGGCAGGGCAGAAGTGGGCAGAAGGGGTAGGTGTCCCACCCATGCCTTCTCTTTCCCCTGGACCTGTGTTGGCCGGCCTGTCCACTGGGTGGTAGACTCCATGGGGACAGAGTTCCAGGSCCCACACAAAGCCTGGGGTGAGAGGACATGCAACAACAACTTTGGGGATTGTTGAATCTTCTGAGAGGGAGAGGATTCAGAGTTTGAGCAGGAGGCTTGGAGAAAGTCCAGAGAGGGAGCTCGTCCAAACAGACCAAGGGACAGTGAGGAGGGGGAAGGGAAGGTGGCGCAGCCCCTGCTGCCTGGGAGAGGGTTCCTCACCAGAGGTCGTGTTTTACTGTTGACAGCTTCCCACTCTTCCTGGCAGTTTTCATGTGTACAGTTTTCAACAAATTTGAAAATAAAAGCAATTTCTTTTTTATTATACTGGGGATTGAACCTTGTCTCAAAATAAAAATATAGGGCTAGGGTTATAGCTCAGTGGTAGAGAACTTGCCTGGCAGGTGTGAGTCACTGGGTTTAGTTCTTAATATCACATAAAAATAAATTAATTAAATAAAGGTATTGGGTCCATCTACAACTAAAAATATTAAAAATATATATATAAAAGGGTTGGAATGTGGTTCAGTGATTAAGTGCCCTGAGTTCAATCTCTGGTACAACTCCCACCCTAACAAAACAAAACAAAACCAAATTAGTGGTGCACGCCTGTAATCCCAGTGGCTTGGGAGGCTGAGGCAGGAGGATCAAGAGTTCACAACCAGGGCTGGGGATGTGGCTCAAGCGGTAGCGCGCTCGCCTGGCATGCGTGCGRCCCGGGTTCGATCCTCAGCACCACATACCAACAAAGATGTTGTGTCCACCGAGAACTAAAAAAAAATAAATATTAAAAATTCTCTCTCTCTCTCTCTCTCTCTCACTCTCCTCTCTCACTCTCTCTTTAAAAAAAAAAAAGAGTTCAAAACCAGCCTCAGCAATGGCGAGATGCTAAGCAACTCAGTGAGACCCTGTCTCTAAGTAAAATACAAAATAGAGCTGGGGATGTGGCTCAGTGTTTGAGTGCCCCTGAGTTCAATTCCTGGTACCCCCCTTAAAAAAAAAACAAATATAAACTGAGTAATTTAAATTGAAGAGATTTATTGGCTTATGGTTCTGGAGGCTACAAAGTCCAAGATTGAGGGGCTACACCTAATGAGGGGCCTTCTTTTTGCTTTATCCCATGGTGGAAGGGCAAAGGGAGGGTGAGAGAGAGAGAGAGAGAGAGAGCAGGAGAGAAGCTTTAATAAAGAATCTGGTTCTACAATAATGGCATTAATCTATTTCCCATTAGGCCCCATCTCATAACACTCCTGCATTGAGGATCAAGTTTCCAACACTTGGGCGGGGGGGACATATTCTTTTTTATATTAATGAAAATAACTTTTTATTGATTAATTCAATAAAACATCTCACAATTGGCAGCATTTTTGCTGGCATCTGCATCTCCAATAACATCACTCCTACGACCATCCCACTTATAACTATTTCACCCTACTTAAAATGAACAGTTCTAGTAGTTAATACTATAGGTTTTAACATTTCAATAGAACTCCACCTGCTGACCTTTAAGTTTTTTTTTTAATTTGTTCTACTTAGTTGTATATGACAGCAGAATTCATTTCAATTCATTGTACACAAACGGGGCGCAACATTTCAATTCTACACGGTGTAGAGACGCACCATTCGAGCAGCCATACATGTACCTGGGGGTAATGATGTCCATCTCATTCCACCATTTTTCGTACCCCCCTAACCCCTCTCCACCCTCCCCTTTGCCCAATCCAAAGTTCCTCTATTCTTCCCATGCTCCTCCCCCTTCATAGATCAGCATCCACTAATCAGAGAAAACATCCATTTACCTGCAAGTGCCATAATCTCTCTCTCTCTCTCTCTCTCTCTCTCTCTCTCTCTCTCTCTCTCTCTCTCTCTCCCCCACAGGGAGGTAAGAGGCAGGAGAGGTTGTGCTGAGGGGATGTGGGCAGTAGAGGCCTCAAAGGCATAGCTTCTCCTGGCCAAGATGGCTCTGAGTGTGCTGCAGTGGAGGAAGGTGACATTCATTGGTGTGAGAAGGTCTAGAGTACTGGATGGCCGCTCACAGGGTCAGTGTCCAACTCAGGATGGTGATGAGAGATGACCTGAAAAGGAAGATTCTGGCTTTCTGACTGAGCCTCCCTAGCCTAGGAGAGAAGGAGGTCCACAGAGGCAGGGTCCAAGGCAGAAAAGAGGAAGTGTGTGAGTGTAGGTGGATGGTGCAAAAGCAGGAGCTCAGGGCTGGGAGGACCGTCATCCTCTGGACCTGGAGAGACAGCAGTGGGGCAGGCCAGCTTGTGCACATGAAGATGTGGGGGTGTGAATACATGCGTGTCAGTGTCCCTATGTGTGTGAGGAGGTGTAAGAGTGTGTGTATCAATAGGTGAGTATGTGAAAGTATGTGAGAATGTGTTAATGAGTGTGTGTGCATGTGAAGAGTGTAATGAAAAATGTGTGTGTGTGTGTATGTGAGTGTGCAGTCAGGTGCAGACTGATAAGGGGTGGGAGAGGTTACTGTGGGATGATGGGGGCTCAGGAGAGAGTGTTTACAATAGAACTTGGATTTCAGGGGGGACAAAGGTAGTGGGAATTGGGGGAAGAGGATATGAGTCTGAGAAGATGAGGAATGGCCCTTGGGGAGTGGAATGACCTGGAATGAAGGATCCTAGTGGAATTTTGGGAAGGAAGGGATTATTCCAGGTTTGGACTCGTATGAGGGATGCAGTCATTGAATTTAAGGAGAACACAGGGCCCAGCCTCTAGGGAAATAGTCGGAAGGGACAGGGGCTGTGGAAGGGCAGAGACTAAGGCCAGAGGTGATCTGCAGGTTATTCCAGCAGGTGGGCAGGAGGGGAAACCATTCATAGGCCTACTTTCTTAGAGTGTGTGTCTAAAAAGGCCAGATCTTTCCCCCCGATGCCTGTGTGTCTCCCTATTCCAAGTCCAAGATCTCAGCTTTGCACACAGCTGATGTGTGTACTGTGTCATGTGCATGAGTGTTGTGTGCACCTGTGTAGGGGCATGTGCATGCCGCACACTTTCACAGGGGTGCAAATGTGTGTGCAATGCCTCAATGCTAGTGTCAAAACCTGCTGAATGTCCCACCGTCCCCCACCTGGTTTCTTCCCCAACCAGGTTGTGTCTCCTCAGACTTCTGTGCCCTTGGATGCCTGGCTCATGACACTCTCTCTCTCACAGGGTCACGTCTTCCCCAGCCCCTTCCACAGCGCCTCTGCTCCAGGCTCTATCTCAATCTGCTCGCCCTGGGTTTCAATATCCTGCTGCTGGTGGCTGTTTGTGTAATTGGGTCCCAAAGTGAGAGTCACAGGGCTGGCAGGGAGAAGGCAAGGGTKTGGAACATTGATGGGCAATGTCGGGGGCAGTGATGGGGGCAATGAGCTGAGAAGAGGTGGAGGCAGCATGGGGCAGGCACAGGGTGCGAATGGGGGCTGATGATGGGGGAACAATGGGACCAATCATGGTGCAGTGACAGGTGAAGAGAGGGGCAGTCATGCGGATAGTGATGGCAGACATAGCCCACACTCCATCTTGTTCCCACTGTCTCCTGACAAGGCACACAGCTGCAAGCAGAGTTGCGGACCCTGAAAGAATCTTTCAGCAATTTCTCCTCCAGCACCCTGATGGAGATCCAGGCTCTGGGCTCCCATGGTGAGTGGGCTGGCTGGTTGGTGATAATTTATCCAGAGAAATTTGCCAGGCTCTGTGCTGAGTCTGCAATAAGGACATGGTTAGGGGCTGTGCAGACTCAGACTGAGGTAGGTAACCCAGCCCAAGAAGTTGGGCAAGGCTTCCAAGGATGTTGGCCCCTGACCTGAGGGGCCCTGAGGATGAATCAGATCATGTAGGTGAAGAAGAGAGAGGTTAGTGATGGAGAGAAGAATCTGGGACAGCCCGGAGATGAGGAAGAACAATGCACATTTTGGGACTTATGGACAATTCTAGCATGTGGTGAGCTAATTGGTGGGGCGGGGGCTATTGGGCAGAGAATGGTATGGAGTCAGACTTTGCAACAAGATGTGTTTGCTGAGTGGGGCTTGGTTGCAAGAACATGGGGACCCAGTGAAAKAATTTATTCAGTGCAGTGTCCTGAGTCTCTCTGGTGGTGTGGGGAGCCTGGGTGGCCTAAGGGGTTCAGGTGGTAGACCACATAACATCCTGGACAAGGTGATGGTCCCCAACTGATGCCCAGGCATGTGAGGCTGGAGGCATGGTCAGCAGGCAGAACAGAGGAGAAACCACTTAGCTTCTCTCTTTTCAGGGGACAGTGCAGGTGACAAGGTGTCATCCCTGGGAGCCACACTGGAGAAACATCAGCAGGACCTAAAAGCAGGTCAGAGGCCCTCCCTGAGTATGTGGATGGTGTGGTGTGCATGCACTGGGTGTGATGTGTGTGTGGATTGTGGTATGTGTTTGTATGTGTGTGGTATRTGTGTGTGTGCTATGTGTGAGCTTTATGTGTATGTGTGGTAGGTTGTGTGTGTGTTAGGTATGTATGTGGTGTGATATGTCTGGTGTATGTGTTTGTGGTGTGGTGTGTTTGTATGTGTGGTGTGTGTATAGTGTGGAGGGTTGTGTGGTGTGTGTGTTTGTGTGTGTGTGCGTGTGTGTGTGTGCATGCATCCCCAGCCAACAGCTGGATTCTTGTGCCTGGTGCTGGCAGGTGGGGACCCACATGTCTACTGCACTGCTGTCTGTCCATCTGTCCCCCTAGATCATGCCACCTTGCTCCTTCACCTGAAGCACTTCCCACTAGATCTGCGTATCCTGACATGTCAGATGGCATTTTTCCAGAGCAACGGTAAGGACAGGGCATGCCCGGTCTCACTGTGTTTGTCCCCTCTGGGTAGATCTCATCTCCCTCTGCCCCTGTCCTCTCAGGCACAGAATGCTGTCCCGTTAACTGGGTGGAACATGAAGGCAGCTGCTACTGGTTCTCTMGTGCTGGGAAGACCTGGTCTGAGGCAGACAAGTACTGCCAGCTAGAGAATGCCCACCTGGTGGTCATCAACTCCAGAGAGGAGCAGGTGAGGCCAAGCTTCCCAAAGGCAGGAGGAAACCTTGAACTCAGGCTCAGTCAGGAGCTTCCATCATCAGGTTTCTTTTTGTCTTTTTAACCTAAGGAAGAGTCTAGAAGTGTGGTAGAGCCCTGGGGGGTTCATAGTTGAGCAGCCATTGATGCCAAGAGGTGGGAGATGGCAGGCAGAAACAAGTAAGGGCATTTAAACCTGAGAGGCAAGTGAAACCAAGATCCTTAATGGGTTTGGGGGTCTTGGTGGAGAGCAGGAATAGGAATTCCATGAGTCTGAGGCTGAGGGAAGAAGACAGGGACCAAACCAGAGTCAGAATAGCAGATATAATGGGAATGGGGTGGGACCTAGAGGACAGTGGTCACAAACTAGATCCTGGATTGGCTCTCTGGGCTCTAACAACTTACCTTGCAATGTGTGAGTTGTCATGGCACCCAACTTAGAGAGCTTCTGAGGATTCAATGAGATAGTCCCTGGAAAGCACTAAGCACAAAGTTTAGCCCAGTGAGTGTTCACTGACGATAGCTCCGATGACAGAGGGGGAAACCCAGGGAACGGTGGTGTCGGGAACTGATGCTTCTTCCGTGGGGACAGATCGGCTGGAGAAGGCTGAGGGAGGCACACAGATGCCGGCATGGATGAAGGAAAAAGGTCCAAGGAACAAGGAACTAGCAGCCTCACCCCCCCTTGYTTTTCCAGAAATTCATTTTACAACACACAGGCGCCTTTCATATCTGGATAGGCCTCACTGACAGCGATGGCTCCTGGAAATGGGTGGATGGAACTGACTACAGACACAGCTATAGGTAAGTGGCCTCTATCTATCCCCTTGTTAGTTTRCCTTGGGGACAGCCACAGGGCTTTTGGCCCTAACAGACTCCCTGAGGTCCTTTTGGGGACCAAATTCCTCAACCCTCTCCTTTCCCACTGACTGCCTCCAAGGCTGCACCTTCTTGCCCTGAACCCCTCCAAGGCTGTGTTTTTCTGGAGTTGGGGGTGGGGGCAGGGTTGCTGGGACGTGGCCCGGTCAGATCTTGGGCTTTGTCTTGTCTTCTTAGGAACTGGGCTATCACTCAGCCAGACAACTGGCAGGGCCATGAGCCGGGCAGAAGTGAAGACTGTGTTGAGCTCCTGAGGGATGGACGCTGGAACGACAACTTCTGCCTAGAGGTGAACCGCTGGGCGTGTGAGATGAAGCGGAATATCACTGACTAAGCCTGGCCCCAGCACATCTTTAACATGCACCCCATCCCTGCACCGACCCTGGCTTCTCTACTGGGAATTCTACAGAAAGGAGGAAAAAGCAAGTCTGGGTTATGGGGAGAGGTTGAAGAAAAGTAGAAAAGGGGGTGGTTTGTTTCAGATCCTGGGAAGGCTGAGGGCCTGCCTCTTTCCACAGTTCTTTGTTGTAGTTATTACAATTTTCAGTGGCTTCAATGGAGTAGAAATAAATACTTGAAACTCTTTGCAGCCYGGTTATTTGGGATTGGGGAATGCACATGCAAGGAAACAGGACAGAGGAGATTCTGGAGGAGTAGGGTGTAAGTTCTAGGCTCTGCTCCTTGACACCAATCCCCAGGGACCCTGGCTGAGGAGGGGACAGAAAAGATGTGGAGAAAAAAGGCTCAGTGGTTGGCACTTCGATGGGTTGGAGGGGTCCCCCAGCTTCCTAGAGTTCCTGAAGGAGAAACTTTTTCTGCATTTGGGATCTCCCCAAATTGGGTTTTGCAGAGAACACCCCTGCTCCAACCTCAGCTTACGGGGGAAATGTTTGCCAGGGGGAGAAGGCTCAGTAAGACTCCTGCCCACCCCTTTCAGCATGGCTGCTCCTTTGGGGCCTCAAACAGATTTAGACATATATCCAACACAAGGCGTCTCCAACCATTTCCACAGTTGATACATGTCCCTTTCCAAGAYCATTTGGAACCTGACCTTGAACATATCTTTAAGGATTGCATTTTTACTTGTATTCATGGTGCTATGGATGGAACCCA